TGCCATAAGCTACCGTAGGGCGGGGGGAGGTTAGCTTACAGGACAAGTTTGGAAAAAATCAAGATGACTATATTTTGGTGGAGATGGGGTGACTCTGGAGCCTTGGAGGGGTCACACAGGTGTTGGAAGGAGGCCTCACACGAGGACATGTTGGCACAGGTATGGGTGGTTCACTAGCTGTGTGATGACCTTGAATAGGTCCATGATAGCCCTCTGAGCCGGCCTTGGCTATGAAGTGGAGATAATAGCTGACCTGCGATTAGAAACAGCCAGTGCGATGGGCCTACTTGGGGTAAATGACTGCAGATCTGGCATCTCTGTGCCTACAGCCCTCATGGGTGGGCATGGTTATGAGATCCCCCAGGGCTGGGGCTTTCAGGCTGGATGCAGTGGTCCTTGCCATGTGCTAATAAACTTCTGTCACACCCTTATCTGGGTGCCTCTGCTAGCAATGCCATTCCCTTCCCTTTTCCTCCACAGGGTACCTCCTTCAGAGCTCAGTAGATGCCGGTCCCTGCCGCCCTGCAGGGTGCCCTGCCCATACCACACAGCATGTGGCCTACCTATCGGGGAAGAAGTTGTACACAGGGTCTCACCTCTCCAGGCATTGACTCTGTTGGATGGATGACTGGCAGAGAGAATTGGGGAAGAGCAAGGGGGAGGCTCCCGGCTTCCTTGTAGGATGGCCCTAGCAGCAGCAAGCCAAGTTGATGCGCCCCTGGCATGCCGTTATGGGGTGTCTCTGTTCATGCTTGCCTTTAGACATGCCTTTATTTACCTTTTACAGAGGTGTGTGCCCATGTGGAGAGGCAAGAGAGCAGTTTCCTTAACTCACAGTTTCTCCTGTGACATAGGCTATAGGTGTACACGTGACCAGAATATCACCATATAAGCACTCTAGTTTGTGGCCACTGAGATAATGTGGTTGTGAAGTGGATGTGCTGGTTTTGTCTGATCCGGTACTCTGACAGCACATAGGGTGACAGGACTGCTCTGGAAGAACCTGTATTTTCTCTGTGGCCTGGCCTGGCCTTTAAGTCAAGGGCTCAGAATCTGTTATGACTCCAAAACAAATGCATTCCTTATATATTTCAAGCTTTATGGATTCTAAACTGGTGGTTTCACCTCTGTTTGGGGTCTTGAACTCTTTGGAGGGCTTTTGAATGATACATATGTGGTTTTTAATGGACTTTCAAGGTTCCCTCTGGCTCCCCACAGTTCCTGAGGCTCATTCATGAATCACCATGGAGGCTTCAGATTGAGAAATTTGTTCTAAAAGGATTTATCTCCCGTGGTAGCTGATTAATATTTAAGAACTCAAGCTAGACTAATGAAGACTACAAAAGTGTTGAGTTAACATTTTTTTCTTTGTTGGAGAAGGATGCTTTTTTTTAATCATACCCTTAAAAAGTATTTTTTTTTTACCCTAAATGAGAATTTCTTGGTGATAGATTGTTTTTAGCTGGGTTTCCTTGCCTCACAAGTCCAGACACACTTGATGAGAACCGTAGAAGCAGTATGGCCAGTTTCTTTTTAATTTAAATCTACAGGGCACCATGAATTAGGAACTTTTAAAATTTTTACAAACTCTTTTAAACATTTATATTAAAAATTAAGAATAAACATAAATATCTTGAAAGCTGTGTAAGGGAATTTGATTTTAAGCCCTTTGTCAATAATGGTGAATAAAAGTTCATCATCTTTTTCCTTTTTTTTTTTTTTTTACCTTTTTCTAGTATGTAGTATACTATATAGTTTTAGTTTAATTCCCATATTTATAGAGTTCATTTATTAATAATTCCAGCCATTCCTTTGAGAATGGTAAGGTGGGTGAATGAAATTCTAAAGCAACATTAATTTTAAGTAATGTTTAACTTTTAAACTCCATGCCCTGCAGTGTTCCAGACCAGGCTAGGCAGCCAGGAACAAGACTCCATTATTATTTTGAAATGGCTTGTTTTCCTCTTGCATGAGGTTGCAGTGGGCTGGGGCTTTTTTTGTTGTTGTTGACCCTGAGTGTTCTTTGGCCTGTGCTGGGTGCTGGACTGACTTTTAACTCTCCAAAGCAGATAAAGCATTTGAGAATTTAAAAGGCAGCTGAAAGCACTTAACATAAAAACATTTTAGTGATTAACTGGAAATAACACTTTTGAAGATAAAAAGGACTAAGACGGGATAAATGTAAGACAGTGAAAATACTCCTTGGCGTCCATGCAGCTTATTTTAGTACCTGGACTGTGTGTGCTTGGTGTTGCAAATGTGAGTAAGAAAACACCTGACCTTGTAGGGAGACCTGCTTGTGAATTGTTCATTAAAAAAGATGTAGTGGGCCTCCCTGGTGGCGCAGGTGTTTGAGCGCCGCACTGTGAAGCTGTCCGCAGCCTCTGCAGCGCGGGTTTGATCCCGGCCGGCTGGCGAAGCAGACCTATCCTGTCTCGCCCGCTGCTCCCCTCAGCAGTGTATTGTCAGTCTGCCTGTTTTGTTCCCCTCTCTATCTCTGGTGAATCCTGTCACCCTCCTGCTCATCTGGCCTGTACCCCGGTTCTTGTATAAATAAATCTTTAAAAAAAATCTAAGAATAAACATTAAAAAAATAAAATAAAATAAAAAAGATGTAGTGGACCTTTGGCAACACAGGGTCTGCTGTGGCCCCGGAGCAGTAAGGGGGGCTGTGGCGGCTTCCTGGAGGATGGATGGCGTGCTTGGGTTGTTCTCTGAGTGGTGTGAGGTGGTGTGTGAATGCACTTCTGGCCAGGGGACTGCAGACTGAAGTCTAGACTTCTTGTGGGCTATAGACTGGGCTGAAGGCTGGATGGGATGGCTGGGGTTTAGCCTCCCATTGATGGGCTACATAGAGGTGAGGAGAGGAAGGGGCTCATGAAGATCTTGGGGTGAACTGAATGAGCAACCGGTGAAGAAAGTGTTCTTCCTGATATGGAGAACCAATCTAAGAAGTCTGAGCCATAGAAATCAACGTGGGCACTATCCACTATTATCTATTTATTTAAAGATTTATTTTCATTTATGCATACAGGAACTGGGGTGTAGGCCAGAGATGCAGGGGGGTGAGAGAGAGAGAGAGAGAGAGAGAGAGAGAGAGAGCGAGCATGCGAGCGAGTGAGCGGGGAGCAAAACAGGCAGACTGACCGAAATACACTGCTGAGGGGAGCAGCAGGCGAGATAGGAGAGGTCTGCCTTGCCATGTGGGTTGCTCCCTGGCCGGCCAGGGGTTGAAATTGTGCTGCAGAGGCTGCGGATTGCTTCATAGTGCGGTGCTTAACCCCTTGCGCCACCAGGGAGGTCCCTGAAAGACACTTCTGAGAGGAGCAGTGGGAGAGACAGGAGAGGTCTGCTGCACCATGTGGATCAGCTCCCTGGCAGGGGATCGAACTTGTGCTGCAATGGCTGGTGTGTCAAGTGGTCTCAGCTTGTAGCGCTGAGACTTTAAGCTCTGCACTACCAGCGAGGCCTTATTATCAATTTATTAAGGGGGGAAGCTGCAGCTGTGGACCTCACGTTCTGGGGCAGATCCCAGGATCCTTCCCCACTTCCCAGGAAAGAGCTGCTTAATGAAGCAAGAAGGAGACTATGTTGTCTTTAATTCAAGGTAGGAGAAGGTGTCCAGGAAGGGAGATAGCTTTTTATGTGCCCTGAAATGGTTTAAGTGACAGTGGAAGGATGGAGAAATGTTTCTGAAATAAGTTTTTGTTGCGTAGGCAACACTACACTGATAAATGGGAGTTGTGGAGCTGGCTGCACAATGCAGAATGCTGCTGAACAAGCAAGATCCTGGCCTTTTTATTGATAGAATAATCATATGGAGTCAGTTACGTGGGATAGGAAGGCAAAGAGAAAAAGATGGGTGAAACTGAAAATTATGTTTTTGTCACCTTGGGCTTTGGGGGGGACATGAGTCTGCTGACCAGATAATTCTTATCTGCTTGATGACCAAGTGTTGTAATTGAAACAGTACCCCAGACCCTTGGTCATGGTTCTAATCTTTTCAACAACACTTCTCACTGATCAGCTTCTGGGGTCCCTTGTCATATGTAGTGGCAGGACAGGCCACAGTGCAGGTTTTCTGATCCAGCAGACCGGGTAAAGGAGGAGTCCTGGAGCCCTCAGTGGTTTTTGCAGGTCTTTTATTGGGATTAACCCGGTACACGGCAGGCAGGAGTGCTGGGGGGCTGGGAGGCCTGCCAGCCTCCCAGCCCCCAGCAAATCTTCACTCTATCTGGGCAATCTGGCCTTCTCTGCTTCTCTGCTCTTCCGTTAGTTCTGCTGCTTCTCAGCTTCTGCTGGCGTCCCCGTGACGCCGCCCTTAAAAGCCCAGTCTTAGACCAGGTGAATCCCATCTGCCTATGCCCACACCCTACTCCAGGTGCCCGCCATCAGGCATGCATTCAGGACCACCAGGATCCATCATCTATCCTGATGGCGGGAGGGCAGAAAAGCCTGACATTTTTCTTTACCCTACAGTCGGGCAGTTCTGACCTTGTATAGGAATGCAGAACTTCAGGTAACAAAGAATTGTGGCTGAACAGGTCGCTTAGGTCTAGCAAACCCACATATTTTCAAAGGGATCTTATAAATGAATGTTTCTTGTTATTATATAGCAGTCCCCCAATTTTTGGGTATTTTGGTTTCATGGACAGTTGCATGAAGAGGTTGGGCTGCACTCTAGGATCTCTTACAGGCTTTAATTTTTGTAACTGGCCTTTCTCCAAAGGTTGAGGACATACTGTATAGCAAAGCACATGCCCAGATCAATTCCAGATTGCTGAAGAGATCTTCTAGAATAAAAGGGGTATATAGGATCATATTTTTGTTTATTTTTTAGTAGGACTTAATACTTTTGAAAACAAACTACATTTTATTCATGAGCTATAATTTAATTCTCTTAATGAACTTCAAACTATTGGCCAAAAGTTAAAATGGTAGTAGTTGGAATCATTGCATTTTGTGAACTTCAATACTGACTTTTTTTCTTTCTCTTACAGCTGTTTGGGGCAACATCGTTAACATGAGGTAATTGCTTTTAATAACTTGGATATGGTGGTTGGGTTTATAGACACATTTCATTTGTTATGTGTACAATATGGAAGTCATGGTCAATTGAAAAAATATTTTTAAAATGAAACTGAAGTTTTTGCTATTCATATATCTATCTGGACCATGTCTTTTCTCCAGTGCATCTGCTGGAGGAATGCAGCTGATTTGAACATTTACCCAAGTAAAGTTCAGATATTACAAAGACAATAAACCTTATGCTGCAATGGTAGACTCCTCTGCAGTACTCACCTTAAGGACCCGTCCCTTCTTCCTGCAGACAGTAGTGGGCTGACCCTAACTTCCACAGGGCTGAAATGTAAATTGCTTGAGTCAGAACACTGGGGTCTTCCCTAAGGCTTTTGAGAAGGGAGCCAGGAAAGGCTGGGCTGGCCCAGGAGACCAGGGATGCAGACCACCTGCCTATCAGGGTTTGGCCGGAGATGCTTTCTGGCCCAAGTGTGCCTTATTTATGCTGCTTAATAGGTCCTGCGGGACACTTGTGAAAATAAAATGCTGGTGTTAATATTCTGAGAAAAAAAGATCAGCACAGAATAATAAGCAAGCATTGTAGAAACCAATCTGGCCCTGTTAGTACAGTTTTACATGCAAAGAAAAATTTATTCTACTTTGTAGTTCTTGCTAGTGAAAATATATTAATCATGTTTGTGGTGATTGAGTTGGATTTGGAATTTCAGTGCTGCTGCACATGGCCGTGAGGGTAAAGGGGAACTGTGGCCCCACCAGGCTTTTCACATGGAGTTGGTTTTGCAAGGCGGGTGGGACACTGTTGATCAAAGTCCTACTGTGTGTGTGTGTGTGTGTGTGTGTGTGTGTGTGTCTGTCTCTCTGTTTCCTGACAATGGTTTCTGTTTGTGACTAGGTAGGTTGCTCAGTTCCCACTTAATGGAGCTGTTTTTTGCTTAGAAAAAAGTTCGTTTTGCATTGAATCCCTAGGAAAAGCCCAGCAGACAAACTTGAACTCCTATAGACACACTTATATTGCTTAGAATTTAAAATGCTGTGTAGGTGTAATGTGAAAGTGAGATTATTTTAGTTTATAGAAACAACCATAAGCCATCGATTTGATGAGATCCTCTCCCTCCAGCCCCCGTTTTCTTGTTTTCCTCTGGTGTACCCCCTTCTGGAGGGAATTGGTACATGTGACTGGTATTTGGGAAGGAGAGGGAGGTGGCAACCTTTAGTCTATGTTTTGGTAATTTATTTAAAAATCTTGAAGTCTTGATTGAAAACCTTTCAATTGATCTCAGTTGTGTAGCTTTCTACTCAACAGGTCTATCCAGGAAAACGGTGAACTAAAAATTGAGAGCAGGATTGAAGAGGTTAGTCTCTTTTCCTTATTTTTGCTTCTGCTTTTTCCATACATTTGACAACTTCACTTCTTTTGCTTGTGGTGATAGCTTTATTGTGCTAGCTTGATGCTTTTTCATGATTTTGAAATTGCCTTTCAAAAAATTATTACCCTAGAGTGGAGGCTATTTGTTATCCTGTAGATGCAGCTCCGCCAGCATTTGCCTGTTTCATAAAGGAGTAATTCATTAAAACAAAATCTACCTTAAAGGCAGAATGGATTTAAACTTTTATGTGACTTTTCAGGTAATCCTTTCTAGAATTTCTAATGGAAAGGGAAGTGATTACCAGGATGGGGACAGGTGCCAGCGGCCACTCATCTGAGCAGATGCTGAGGAAAAACATCCCCACCTAATAGGCAGAGATGATGGGAGATGGGAGAACAGCTAGCTCCTTACTGAAAGCTAGCTCCCCTGGTTGATGAGACACCTTCTATTTAGTAATAATTGTTTATGTTTTTGTCAAATAAAAGTAAATACAAATTGACTGTGGGAGCAGTGGGGAGTACTCGTTTTGATTTGAGGCCAGATGCTGTTAGGTATAGGAAGCCCTTAGATGTTCTTGAATTTCTGTTCGAGCTCAAGGTGTTGACACTCACAGACCTGGGTTGAGTCACAGCCTGAGATTTATGTCCTGGAGCTGATTGACGTAAGGTGGTTGCAGAAACAAGGTGATTAGCTTTTGTGGGCAGTACCTGGGGGGTATTAGTTTCTGAAAAGAAACAGGTGATGTTGAGCTGCCTGTTTTTGTGAGTGTGAACCACCTTTAAACATTGTTCATAGTGCAGTAGGTAACTAAAAATGGTGGATTTTGTCAGTTAGGCATTGTAGGGTAAGGTAAAAAGTATCAGGCTTTTCTGCCCTCCCGCCATTAGGATAGATGATGGAACCCTACAGTCCCGAATGCATGCCTCATGGTGGGCACCTGGAATAGGGTGTGGGCATATGTAGATGGAATTCACTTGGGCTAAGCTGGGCTTTTAAGGGCAGCATCACAGACACCAGCAGAAGCCGAGAGAAGCAGAGAGAACGCAAGAGAAGGCCAGAGAACCCAGAAAGAATAAAGACTTGCTGGGGGCTGGGAGGCTGGCAACATGCCCCCCAGCACCTCTGCCTGCCATGTACCTGGTAAATCCCAATAAAAGCCTACAAAAGCCACTGAGGGCTTCAGGACTCTTTCCTCCTTTACCCTGTCTGCATAGTCATAGTCAACCTGCTCAGTGTCCCTTCCTGCCATTACAGGCATCTTTTTTTTTTTTTAAAGATTTATTTATTTATGCATACAAGAGCTGGGGTACAGGCCAGAGGTGTGGGGGGGTGGTAAGAGGATTCACCAGAGACAGCGGGGAGTAGAACAGGCAGATTGACCAAAGTACACTGCTGAGGGGAGCAGCGGGAGAGTCAGGAGAGGTCTGCTGCGCCATGTGGGTTGCTCCCTGCCTGGCTGGGGATCGAACTCATGCTGCAGAGGCTGTGGATTGCTTCAAAGGTTGTGTCTTAACCCCTTGCGCCACCAGGAAGGCCCCAGTTAGGCATTTTTGGATAAGAGTGCCAACATGCACTTTTCATCTCAATTCTACAGTTGTGATTCAAGTGGTGTATCTTAACCTGGAAGTGAAGTGTAGAAGAAATCAGCTGCTGCTTTGCAGTGTGTAATGATCTGGAACACGAGAGTGGAGTAAAAGTAGTGAAGGAATGTTTTTGCTTTGAAGCTGACATTGATGATTTTTGTTTCAGATTATTGAACCACTCAGAGAGAAAATCAGAGATTTGGAAAAAAGGTATGTGTACTTTTTTTTGAGTGTAGGAAAATGTTTACATCTTAGCTGTTGACTACAGGTCAATATCTAATAATAGTTGATTGCAAGTGAGTCATTAATTCCAAAATATGGAAGTTATAAGTCACCTTTGCAGGAGAAGATGTATTTTTACTCTAAAGTTTGGATGCAGTGCTTTTTAAACCTTTTTTTTCTCTTATTAAGAACTATTTCTGATGAAAGCAATGGATTCATCCATTCAAAAAGATTTGTTTATAAATTTAAAGTTATATGTTTAAGGGTTTTCCTGAAGCCCAACCACAGATCCCTGTATTAAAAAGCCTTCCTTTCATATTCTCTAATATCAGTGTGATTTCTACAAACTATGATTAAATAAATGTCCACATAGATGTTTTTGGTTATGAATATAATGCCCAGAAAGGATTCATGACCAATCATTTTGTCCAGGGCAATTGGTTGGGGAAGAGAATGCTGGAATTGGGAAATGTCGTGCTCTCAGGAGAAGAGGGGGGAATAGGATTTATTAATACCTTCTTGCCTTTTTTTTTATTTAAAGATTTTGTGCTACAAGAACTGGGGTGTAGACCAGAGGTGCAGGGGGTGAGAGGATTCACCAGAGACAGAGTGGGGAACAGAACAGGGAGACTGAAATACATTGTAGAGGTGAGCAGCAGACGAGACAGGAGAGGTCGGCTGCGCCATGTGGATAACTCCCTGGCCAGCTGGGGATCGAACTCATGCTGCAGAAGCTGTGGATAGCTTCATAGTGCTGTACTTAATCCCTGGCACGACCAGGGATGCCCTCTGGCATTTTTTCTTGATGACAGATTGAGAAAATACTCATGAGATATTTAACTTTTTCTGTTTTGATACTTTTGTGATTACAGCTTCACTCAGAAATACCCGCCAGTAAAATTTTTATCAGAAAAGGATCGTAAAAGAATTTTGGTAAGTTTGCATATCTGATTAATATTTGTGACATTGAGCAACTTGCTTTTTAAAATCAAAGTATAATTCACATACCATAAAAGTCATAATATATAGTTAAGTATCTTATAATATGTTCACAAAGTTGTACAACTCCACATTTTAAAAAAAGATTTATTTATGCATACAAGAACTGGGGTACAGTCTAGAGGTATAGGAGGTGAGCGGATTCACCAGAGACAGAGTGGGGAGCAGAACAGGCATATCTATTGAAATACACTGCTATGGGAGCAGCAGGAGAGACGGGAGAGGTCTTCTGTGCCATATGTGGGTCAGCTCCCTGGCCGGGGATCGAACTCAGGCTGTTGTGGTGATAGCGCTGAGACTTAACCCCTAGGCCACCAGGGAGGCCCTCTTTTGCCCAATTTTTAATTGTTTTTTTTTTTTTCCTTTTCTTTATTGATCTGTAAGACATCTATATGAGATACAAATTTCTTATCCGATAAATGATTAGCAAATGTTTTATTCCATTTGTTAACATTTGGGTCTGTGATCCGTTTTGAGAGAATTTTTGTATATGATGTTAAATAAGAATCTTTCCATTTTTTGTGTGGCTACCGAGTATATGGCTAAGACTAATCATGCCCCGTTGAATTGTCTTGACATCCTTGTTGAAAATCAGTGGATCATAAATATATATGTTTTCTTTTAGACTTTCAATTCCTTTCCATAGCACTATATATCTCTTTATGCCACTAAAACACTGTGTTGATTATTATAGCAAGTTAGGAAATTAAGAAGTGTGAGTCCTCCAATTTAGTTCTTTTTTAAAGCTCCATTCTTGATCGCTTATAATTCTTTGTGAATTGTAGGATGGTGTCTTTGCTCTGCTGGCATCTTGCTGGATTCCCTATTGGGATTTTCTGTTTCTTTTTGAGTCACTTTAGTTGTTTGTATAATTCTAGGAATGTCTATTTTTTTCTAATTTATGGACATATTGTTTATAGTGTGTTCTTTTTATTTCTGTAATTGCCTCCATTTCATTACTGATTTTAGAAATTTGGGGTTCTCTCTTTTGGTGTAAGTAAAAGTCTGGCACTTTTGTTCATCTTTCCAAGAAACCTTTTTCTGGGTTTTCTTGGTTTTTCACTTTATTTTCCTATTCTCTATTTCAGTAATTTCTGCTCTCATCTTTCTCCCTTCCATGTGTCTTTGGGGTTAATGTACTTTTTTCTAGTGTCTTAAGGTAGAAGCTTAGGTTATCGATTTTAGTTCTTTTTTAATATAGGCATTTTACAGCTCACAGGTTTCTTTCTAAGCACTGCCTTAGCTGCCTTGGCATTTTTTCTTGATGACGGGTAGAGAAAATACTCATGAGATATTATAACTTTTTCTGTTTTGATACTTTTGTGATTACAGCTGGTTGGTTGGTTTGTCGTCTTCATTATCATTCATTTCAAAGTATTTTTGAATTTTCCTTGTATGTATTCTTTGATCTGTTACTTGGAGATGTGTTGTTCAATTTCTACATGCTGGTGAGTTTTGCAACTTTCTTTGTGTTGTTAATACCTAATTTCATTTCATTGTGGTCAAAACATTCTTTGTATGATTTGAAACCTTTCAAATTTATTAAGGCTTATTTTATGGCTGAAGATGTGGTTTATTCTGGATAATAGTCCATGTGCTCTTAAAAGGAGTATGTATTATGCCAGTGTTCTGTGTACTGTTCTATATGTAGCTGTTAGGTCTAGCTGGTCTGTTGTGGTTTTCAAGTGTTTTATTTCCTTGTTAATATTCTGCCTACTTCTATTCATTATTGTTGTTAAATTCTATTTCTCCTCTTCAATTCTTTCTGTTTTTGTTTAGTGTATTTTTGGTTTCTGTGTTTGGTGCACAAATATTCCTTGTTCAATCCACTTGATGAATTGACCCTTTTGTCATTGTAAAATGCCCCTATTTACCTATTAACATTTTTTATTTTATTTTGCCTGACATCATTATAGCCATGCCAGATTTCTTTTTCTTTTTTTATTCATTAAATTTTTTTTCTTACATCATTGTAGTCCCCATAGTTCTCCTACCACCATATCACCCATGATCCAGCCCCATATTCCCTTGGGTTCTTCCCTCCCCTGTTTTGATCCCTCCTTTCTTGTGTGCCTCAGATCTGTGGTCAGCTTGCTAGTTTTGACTTTTTCTTGACCTTTTGTTGCCTTTGTCCTGAGGAACTATTACAAATGTAAGTGTGACCATCTGATATTTATCTTTTTCCTTCTGACTTAATTTCACATGCTAAATTTCTTACTGTTTGTATGTTATATATATTTTTAAAGATTTATTTTCCATAAAAGAGCTGGGGTAAATGCCAGAGATGCAGGGTGTGGGGTGAGAGGATTCACCAGAGACAGAGTGGGGAACAGAACAGGCAGACTGACTGAAGTACACTGCTGAGGGGAGCAGCGGGTGAGTCAGGAGAGGTCTGCTGTGCCATGTGGGTTGCTCCCTGGCCAGCCGGGGATCAAACTCATGCTGCAGAGACTGCAGATTGCTTCTGCAGTGTTTTACCCCTTGCGCCACCAGGGAGGCCCCCGTATATTTTTAATCTTTTTTATGTTCAAGACATGGTATCTTTGGATTTACATTGTATTTTCTTTAGATATTCTATAGTTGCACCTTTTAAACATCCTGCTACTGCCTTTTGAGTGGTGGTTTCATCCATTCACATTTAATGTTACTATCGATATGTAGTAATGCAATGTTTCGTGAGAGGCCTCATGCATCTGATAGGCAACTTTGTCATTGTGTGGGTGTCATAGAGTATAATTGCATAAATTTAGATGGTATAGGCTACTACACACCTAGGCTAGATAGTGTAGCCTATTGACACCACTGACTGTATGAGTCCTTCATTGACCAAAACATTGTTAAGCCATGTGTAGACCAGAGGTGCTGGAGGTGGGAGGATTCACCAGAGACAGAGTGGGGAACAGACAGGCAGATGTACTGAAATACACTGCTGAGGCGAGCAGCGGGTGAGTCAGGAGGGGTCTGCAGTGCTGTGTGGGTCACCTCCCTGGCTGGGGATCGAATTGGTGCTGCAGTGGCTATGGATAGCTTCATGTTGCTCTCTCTTAACCCCTCCCTCTGCCAGGGAAGCCCTAAAGATTGATTTATTTATACATACAAGAGCTGGGGTGCAGGCCAGAGATGTGGGGGAAGGGGGATGAGAGGATTCATCAGAGACAGAATGGGGAGCAGAACAGGCAGATATATTGAAATACACTGCTGAGGGGAGCAGGGGCTCCACAGGAAAGGTCTGCTGTGCCATGTGGGTCACCTCCCTGGCAGTGATCGAACTTGAGTTGCAGTGGCTGCGGATTTATTGCTTCATAGTGCTGCATCTCAACCCTTTGCACCACCAAGGAGGCCCCCTATAATAATTCTTTACTGTATTTAAACAGCATATTCTGTTACTGCTTGTTCTAATTCTTACACATCTCTCTTCACTTTGTGGTACTCTACTTATGATATATGGTGAGTTCCAGTGAGCTGACATTGTCACTCCTATTCCACCACCTGTCTCCCTTCTTGGAATATTATTTCTATCCATTTTATATGTATTATTTCTATTGTAACTTGTATGTTACAAACCCAAGAATACACGGTGGTAGTTTTTACTTTATACTTTATCTTTTAAATAAACTGAGAGGATAAAGGAGAGCAAGGATATTTACAGAATTTATCTTACTATTATTACCATGTCTCATTTCCTTCATTTTTTTCCTGTGCGTTCAGTTGACTTTTGGTGTCATTTCCTTCCTGCAGTCTAGCTTTGTCCTCACCTTCCTTCTGTGTGCTGTTGTCAACTATATTCTATTTCTGTATATTACAGGAATAATACAATTATGTACATATTATTTTATACAATCGTGTTTTACTCCTTTGTTGTTGTGGTAAAACATACTTAACAAAATTTACTAACCGTTCAAAAGTGTATAGTTCTGTGACTTTATATTTGCATCATTATGCTTATACAATTGGTCTTTAAATCAATTAAGAGTAGAAAGGAGAAAATGCAATTTCATTGTTTTTTTATAATTATGCAATTATTTTGACTTCCCTTCTCCCCTCCTTTTTTCCTGTAGATTAAATTCCCATCTGGAATTATTTGCTTTGGCCTGAAGAACATCCTAGTATTTCTTTTATAGCAGGTCTGCTTTCAGTGAATTCTTTCATTTTCATTTATCTATTTTTTTAATATTGAAAGTTATTTTTGGTTATATATAACACTGTTGGTTGACATTTTCTTTCTGCAATTTGAATGTGTTGTCCCACTACTTCGTTTACTATATGTTGCACTAAGTTGTTTTTCTTTTACTTCTGTAATGGTTTCATTCTTATTAGGGCTGCTGTGACAAATATCAACAGCTCAGTAGCTTAAAAATGGAATTTTCTCCATTTTATTTTATTTCATTTATTTATTTTTTGAAAACATTTACTTATTTTTTAAGATTTATTTATTTATGCATACAAGAGCTGGGGTACAGGCCAGATATGGCGGGGGGTGAGAGGATCCACCAGAGACAGAGCGGGGAACAGAACAGGCAGACTGAGTGAAATATACTGCTGAGGGGAGCAGCAGGCGAGACAGAAGAGGTCTGTTGTGCCATGTGGGTTTCTTCCTGGCTAGCCGGGGATCGAACTTGTGCTGCAGAGGATTGTGCTGCGGATTGCTTCATAGTGCAGTGCTTAAACCCTTGCGCCACCAGGGAGGCCCAAGATTTATTTATTTTTGCATGGAAAACCCGACAGAGTGGGGAGCACAGCAGGCAGATTTACTTAAACACAATTCTAAGGGGAGCAGCGGGTGAGACAGGAGAGATCTGCTGCGCCACTTGGGTTAGCTCCCTGGCTGGCGATCAAACTCAGGCCACTGAAACTTAACCTTAGGCCACCAGGGAGGGTCTAACTTACCAATTTTAGAAGGTTGACATCTGAAATCAAGGTGATGACAGGACCAT